TATAAATATGAAAAATCACAAGTGCAATTCCCCCTTTGCATGGAGAGAACCAGCTTTTATTAAATGGAAAATGCCTCATAAGTCACCTGGACTTATTACCTACTTAGTTTAATTGGGCATTTTATTTTTAACCACCTTGCTTTTAGGGACTATAATAAGTCTAACCAAAAATAATCTAACAAGATGATCTGATCATAAATTCCTTACTGGGAAGGTCATGTTGGGTAACCACACCTCATTCCTATAACTTTTAGTGAAAGGTTTTAAGAAAGCTCTGTCCATTGCTCATCTTGTGCGTCTAGGTTAACACACCTTTGAAATGGCAGAAGTATCCACTCCCATAGCCTTCAAGGGAATGCATAATCTTAACTATCCTATACCTTGCCTTCTTCATGTAATCTTCCTTACATTCCCTCCTTAATTCTAAATGTATAAAAGAAACTGCAAAACGCATTCTCTGAAGTTTTTGAGATCTTCTTGCTTCCCACCATTGTTGTCAGTTTGGGCTCAAATAAACTCATAAAAATTCTCAAAAGGTTGGACTTTGCTTATATTGACACTTTATTGACAATTTGTTGACACAAGAAGGTCTGGATATAAATTTGGGTCATAGATACATTATTTGTATTTCAATATGGGGGACAATGTACAAAGATCTGAAAATAACAAAACCTGACATTCAAGGAACTGTACTTCTGAGAACCAATTTTAATCACATCCTTAAGAAGCCTGTACGGAGCAATCCTCACATTCTAGTCATGATCATCTTTCTTATTTCTCTGAGAAAATATCAATGATAAAATATGTTGTCTTCTTTCCACCACCCTGACCACCTTACCTGTATTCTTAAGTACATTTCCCCCCATTTATTCTCCCTTTATTCCAGATTTTATATCCTTCATCCACCTCCCATTTCAAAGACACTGCTCTCACAATTATGTTTTCTCTACTGCATGAATTTCCCCCACCTATAGAAGCATTCCCATGAGCACACAAACATATTCTAAATTTCCTACCATAAATTACACAACATAACCCATATTTCCCAGCTTTCCTTCATAAATAATTCCTCCAAAGAGTTGTCTTATATTCATTCTTATCATTTTTCTTTAGCTACTCTTCTTACATTAGTCATTCCAATCACATTTATCACCCTGACTCCACTAAAATCACTCTTGATAAGGGCACCAACATTTTCCATCTTGTCAAACCTGGGGTAAATTCTCAGTCCTCATTTTCTAATCTTCAAATTTTGAAACATTTTCTTTTGTTTTTATTTTTATATCAGAGGCTGTTCCTTTTTCATCTCCTTTGCTGCCCCTCTTTCAAAAATCTAAATATTGGAGTGTTCCATGAATCAATCATCAAGCCATTTCTTATCTGCTTTCTTCTATCAGCATGCATTCCTTAGGTTATCACATTCAGACCCATGAATTTAAAATCCGATAATAAAGTAAAAACACCCAGTTCAATTCTCCCTGAATTCCAGGTATACATGTTCAATTGCCTACTCAACATCTCAAACTGAAAGAATAATAGACATTTCAAACTTAAAATATCCAAACAGAAACTCTTAATATCTATTTTCCAATTTGCTTTTCCTATCTTCCCCACATAGTTACTTAACACCCTTAGTTGCTCCTTTGATATCACTCCATTTTTAATCCCATTACTAAGTTCTGTTTTGGTTTCCCCTTCATATGTATATTAGACTAACAGCTTTTTTTTAATGTCATCTGCATATTGTATTGTGTGTTTACCAACCCAAGTCAAGTCTCCTTTCATCACCATCTTTAATAGCTTCTTACTACTTCCTATCATTGCCTTTTTTTCCAAACTACCATTACTTCTAGTCTAAACAGCTAAAATTGCCTTTACAATGGTACTTCCAGCTTTTGTACTCCACCAAAGGGATCATTTTATTTTATTTTTTATAAAGATCTTATATGTGTACATATCTTACCTTTGGCCCCCAGCCCACTCCCATACATGCCCTCACCTCCCAGTGTTTTGCGTCCATTAGTTATGCTTATATGCATGCACACAAGTCCTTCCATTGATCTCTTATCTATCCCATCTCTCCCTAACATTCCTGCTGTAATTTGACAGTCTGTTTGATGCTTTACTGCCTCTGTATCTATCTTTTTGTTCTACAGTTTATAGTGTTCAATTATCCATAAATGAATAAGATCATGTAGTATTTTTCTTTCATTGATTGGGTTAGTTCACTTAGCATAATATTCTCCAGTTCTATCCAGGTTACCGCAAATGGTAAGAATTCCTTCTTTTTTATGGCAGCATTGTATTCCATTGTATAGATGTGCCATAGTTTTCTCATCCAGGCATCTGCTGACAGGCACCTAGGCTGTTTCCAAATCTTAGCTATTGCAAATTGTGCTGCTATGAACATAGGGGTGCATATATTCTTTCTGATTGGTGTTTCCAGTTTCTTAGGATATATTCCTAGGAGTAGGATAACTGGGTCAAATGGGGAGTTCCATTTTTCATTTTTTTGAGGAAGCTCCATACTGTTCTCCACAATGGCTGTACCAGTCTGCATTCCCACCAGCAGTGCATGAGGATTCCTTTTTCTCTGCATCCTCACCTGCACCTGTCATTTTTTGATTTGTTGATATTAGCCATTCTGACAGGTGTGAGATAGTACCTCATTGTCATTTTGATTTGCATCTCTCCAATAATTAGTGACTTTGAGCATGTTTTCATGTGTCTCTTAGCCTTCCTTCTGTCTTCTTTCAAAAATATTCTATTTTGGGTCATTTATCTTCCTTTTATTAAATTGTATAAGTTGCCTGTAGATGTTAGAGATTAAGCCTCTATCAGTGATAACATTTTCAAATATGTCCTCCCATACAGTGGGCTTACTTGTTGTTTTGTTGATGGTTTCTTTTGCTAAGCAAAAGCTTTTTATTTTGATGTAGTCCCATTTGTTCATTTTCTCTTTATCTTCCATTGCCCTAGGAGCAGTATCAGTGAAGAAGTTCTTTTTGCATATGTCTGAGATTTTGCTGCCTGTGGATGCCTCTAGTATTTTTATGATTTCCCGTCTTATGTTTAAGTCCTGTATCCATTTTGAGTTTATTTTTGAACATAGGGGTGCATATATTGGGTCATTTATCTTCCTTTTATTAAGTTGTATAGTTGCCTGTAGATGTTGGAGATCTAGTTTCCATTTATCGTTTTGTTGGTGATCTAGTTTCATTTTTTGCATGTATCTGTCCAATTTTCCCAATACCATTTCCTGAAGAGACTGTCTTGACTTCATATCTCCTTTGTCAAATGTTAATTGAGCATAGTGGTTTGGTTTGATATATGGATTCTCAATTCTATTCCATTGGTCTAAATGTCTGTTCTTGTGCTAGTACCAGGCTGTTTGGAGAACAGTGGCTTTGTAATACAGCTTGAAATCTGGTATTGAGATCCCACCTACTTTATTCTTCTTTCTCAGGATTGCTGTGGCTATTTGGAGTCTTTTTTTATTCCAAATGAATTTTTGGAGCGTTCTTTCTAGGTCAGTAAAATATGCCGTCGGTATTTTAATGGGGAGTGCATTGACTTTATAAATTGCTTTGGGTAATATGGGCATTTTGATTATGTTGATTCTATCAATCCATGAACATGGTATGTTCTTCCATCTGTTTACATCTTCCTCTTTCTCTTTTTTCAGTGTCATGTAGTTTTCTGCGTATAGGTCTTTTACCTCCTTAGTTAAGTTTATTCCTAGGTATCTTAATATTTTTTTGGTGCGATGGTAAATGGGATTGCTTTTTTAGTCTTTCTGTAAGTTCATTATTTGTGTATAGAAATGCCATAGATTTCTTGGCATTAATTTTGTATTCAAAGAGATCATTTTAGAATACAAAGCACACTATAGCTTCCAATTTATCTTAATGATTATGTTATATGGCCCTTGCCTAACTCTGATTTCATCTCTTATTACTTTCCTTTTCTTTTCCACCTGTTTTAGTCAGATTGATTTCTTGTTAGTACTCAAATATATAAAGCTAATTTCTTCCTTAGGCCTCCTTTAAATGTTCTCTTAGAGAGTCACATGGCTTCAGTCTTACTTCATGTCTATCTTTATATATTAACTCCTCAAAAAAGCCTTTCCCTATTTGTCCACCTTTCTGTATGCATTTCATATTTCAATAAAACTTACTTAAAGGAAAAAAGAAACAAAAAAAGAGAAAAAACTATCTTGTTTAAGATGTTTAACAATGAATCAACAATTGTTATTTTAGCTAAATGTTTCCTAAGCTGATATTTCTTATTCACTTGGAACCTCTGCATTTTATTGTGTGTGTTTTTGTTTTGTCAGTATTAATAGTTGTCTCATTTAATTACCTAAATATGAATAAGAAAATAAGCTGAAATTGAGGGGAAAAAACAAAACAAAACATGTTTTTCTTTCCTTTGGTAGAAAGTAAACTAGAAGATATATTATTATAAATAGAGCACTTATTGTTATAAAATATTAACTTTTAGCCTAAAATGAGTCTCTTTAGCTAGAGACCTGAATATATGAAGAGCAAAATACAAAATGGTAACATATATATATGTCTTTATTTAAAGAAATTTAAGAATATTTTTTAAACAAGAGGTTCAAAGGAGATGAAAATAGAGGTAGAAGCTACACCATAGAATCACTCTCCCTATAGTCTATCAAATTCATGTTTCTCCCTTATATAAAGATAGATAGAATGGTTGTCAACAGAAAACAAAGAAAGCACCTCTCTATCCCTCACCCCTTTTCAAGGGCAGGAAAACTGGAGGTGGGAAAAAAAAAGAATAGTAAATGAGATAAAGAAGTAGTTCTATTAGTAACCCCAGCTAAGATCTTAATACAGTCTCAGATTGTTTTTCTTCAGGCCATGAATCTTAAAAGAGGACTTTCTAAACATCAGGAGGGTGTGCCTCTTCCCTAAGTAGCTGAGTAGTTTTCTCTAGTAATGGGTTCTCTTACCCAATTGGTTCTTACTCACCTGAATGTAATATTCTTCCTTTCCTCATAACTTTCCAGGGCTCTTTTCCTTCCTCCAATAAGGAAATCACATCTGGTTTAGAAATGAAGATTCCTGGTTAGAAGAAAAAATATGTGAAGTGATATTATATAAAAAAATAAATTCAAAATTACTTTAATTTAGCCTTGATTAAATTTTTATACAAGTCAAATGGCAAGTAATGAAAGGTCTGATTAATATACCAAGAAATAACTCTTTGTCTTATAAGACAAAGAGTGGCAAGATGGTTTAAAAACATTTATATTGGGGAAATTCCAAGATGACAGCACAGTAGTCAGAGGCTTCTGCTTGTTTGTAACATCAAATGGGACTTACAGCTAAACTGCAGAGCAATTGGCTTGAAAAACAAATTAAAGTGTAGCTGACCTGGAATATTGAGAGCAGCGTGCACAGAGGAGACACCGAGAGGGTGAGCAAACTCCAATAGCTCAGGAGGAATTTTGCAGCAGCAGAGCCCCTTTCCCTGGGAGTCTGGGATCTCAGCCCCACTCAAAGATCCCCAATCCAGAGCATCAGTTGGTGGGATCAGTTAGGAATAGTCCAATGGGGAGAAACAGCCCCCACCATCTCAGGGAAAGTACAATTTCTTTGGTACAACACCAGCCTGGGAAGTTCACTCTGATCTTTATCTGCAGTAGTGACCACACAGAAGCCCATGGCCAGCTGAAGGGTCTGATCAATATACCCATAAATAACTGAAGGGTCCTCTATTAAATGGAAGAACTTTGGGCAGAGAGCCAGATGGGGGCTGAACAGTGTCTTGGGAAAGAGGAGTGATCTTGCCCATCTAGAGTACACAGGTGATGCCCTTCCCCACACCTACAGAACTGCTGAGTTTGCCCTGTCCTAATGTGATCTAAAACAAAGGGGAGCAATGCTGGGCTAGAAGTTTGCACCTATAATGCTTAGTTTGACCATACAGAGGATTCAAACATTTGGTCCATTTGGAGTTGAGTGGAGACCTCATCCCATGGAGGCTAGCCATGCAGAAAGATGGGAATACCAAGAAAGGCTGCTTTTTAAAATTTATATTATATCCCCTCCTACTTGGTGGGGCAGCAAGGTGGAGCCAGGGAACCAGGCAGAACTGAGGCATTAATATTGGGTCTCTGGGGTGGGCTTCTGTTCAAGAGATAAACAGGCATATGTTGGGCCTTTTGGCTACATTACAGAGAACCAGAACCAAACTCCCCATTGAGGTCAGCCAGATCAACCTTGGGAAGAAGAGGTCGAACTCTCCCCTTCTCCTCTCCCCCCACCCAAGTTACAGACACTACCCCTAACACAAGTCTGTTAAAGCAACCCAGCCAGATACTGAATAAACCCACTCACTGCAATTCTGAGGGGGAGGGAGAGTAGCTCAGAGCAGGAATTTAAGATACAAAACCAAAACAGAGGCCCTGCACACCAAACTTCTTGGGGCTTCACCCTATTGAGTTTCAGTCAGATTGCCAAGGGCCAGGCAAGAACAATGACATTGGAAACACCAGAAAACCTCCCAGGGGACCAGGACCAGCACACCAAGTGGCCAAATTTGGACAACATTGGAACAAAATCCAGTGAGCTCCCCAAGTAGCAAATCTAAAGAGTGATTGCAGCAGGCACAAAAATCTAAGGAGGAAAACTCCATTATTTTTCTTTTTTCTACATTTTTTTGGTTATATTTCATTTATAGTTCTTCGTCCTTCTTTCTTTCATATCTCTTATTAGAGGCCCAGTGCACAAAATTCGTGCATGGGGGTTGGGGGAGCATCTCCCTCAGCCAGGCCTGCACCCTCTCTAATCTGGGATTCCTGTGGGATAAGGCCCAAACTGACAGTCAAACATCCCTCTCACAATCCAAAACTGCTGGCTTCTAACTGCTCACCTGCCTGCCTGCCTGTCTCTAACTGCGTTTGCCTGACAGCCTGATCATCCCTTAATCTTGCCCCTGCTGGCCAGATTGACAACTAATCCCCTGCCGACCTGTTCACTCTCAACTGCCCTCTCTTGCAGGCCCAATTACCCCAACTCCCCTCTCCTGCTATCATGGTTGCCCCCAACTGCCCTTTCTGCTGGCCAGATTGCCCCTAACTGCCCCCGCCTGCTGGCCATCTTGTGGCAGCCATCTTGTGTTGGCCATATTGTGACTACATGAGATTAGCCATCTTGTGATGATGTGAGGGCTTCACATGAGGGTGCAAGGACCACCTAGGCTTTTTTATCTCCTTATTTTTTCCTCTGTATGTTTTCTTTTATTATTTTTTTTCATTTTTTCTTTTCTATTCAATACTTTTTAAAATAAATCTTTATGGTTAAGATTATTACAATTGTTTCTCCTTTCCCCCCTCCTCCCATAGCTCCCCTCCTTCTGGTCCCCACTCCACCCTCTGCCCTTACCTCCCCCTGCCCCCGCTGTCCTCATCCATAGATATATGATTTTCTTCCCGTACCTCCCACACAGACATCTTTTTCCTCCTGAGAATTATCAATCCCCTCCATTCTATGCCCCTGATTCTATTATATTCACAAGTTTATTCTGTTCCTCAGATTTTTAATTCACTTGACTTTTAGATTCACTTGTTAATAGGTATGTATTTATTGTTCATAATTTTTATCTTTACTTTTTTCTTCTTTTCCCTCTTTTTAAAGAACACCTTTTAGCATTTCATATAATACTGGTTTGGTGGTAATGTACTCCTTTGGCTTTTTCTGATCTGTGAAGCACTTTATCTGCCCTTAAATTCTGAATAACTTTGCTGGGTAGAGTAATCTTGGTTGTAGGTTCTTGCTCTTCATCACTTTGAATATTTCTTGCCACTCCCAGCTGGCCTTCATAGTTTTGGTTGAGAAATCAGCTGACAATCAAATGGGTGCTCCCTTATAGGTAACTAACTGTTTTTCTCTTGCTGCTTGTAATATTCTCTCTGTCTTTTGCTCTTGGTATTTTAATTATGATGTGTCTTGGTGTGGTCCTCTTTGGATTCCTTTTGTTTGGGGTTCTGTGCATTTCCTGTACTTGTAAGTCTATTTCTTTCACCAGGTGGGGGAAGTTTTCGGTCATTATTTCTTCAAATAGGTTTTAAGTGTCTTGCTCTCTCTCTTTTGGAACCCCCATAATTCTGACATTGGTACACTTGAAGTTGTCCCAGTGGCTTCTTACACTATCTTCAACTTTCTGGATTCTCTTCTCTTCTTGTTTCTCTGGAAGAGTGATTTTGCCTCTTCGTATTCCAAATATTTTACCTGATTCTTGCGTTCTTCTAATATGTTATTGAGTCTCTGTATAATATTTTTTTTATTTCAGTCAGTATGTTTAATTTCTAGTTGGTTTAATTTCTTTTTCATATCCTCAAGAGTATCGTTCAATTTATCGGCCTTTTCTAGGAAATTCTTGAAAAATCTTATAACCGTGGTTTTTAACTCTGTTTTCCTCCATTTCTTTTGAGATCTCCTTCCTTTTCTTGGCATTCGCTGCTTCCCTGAGTTGGTAGGGTCGCTTTGTAGGCCTGGGTGTTCTATATGGTTCAATGGATCAGCCTCCCAGTTGCCTGAGATGGACACTCTTGGTGCACATCTTTGTGAACTGTGTGTACACCCTTATTGTAGTTAAGTCTTGATTGTTGTTGGTGTCACTGGGAGGAATTGACCTCCAGACCAATTGGCTGTGAGGACTTGCTGTGTCTATAATGGAAGAATTGCTGTTCTGGAGACACATTTATGGAGGAGGACTTGTTCCCATAGGGCTTTGGTGCTCACTGAGTCTGTCTCTTGAATGTGTCCCTTATGAGAGTAGTTGAAATCTGGTGTTGTCCACACCAAATACTAGATACACTAGTTTCCAGATCTCTAATGGGGTGCAGTTCAGCTACTATCTGAGGCTACCCTGCAGGAGCTACAGTGAGAACCACAGTCCTCTCCTCCCTGCTTGGAGCTTAGAGGCTTTGGAGCTACCTGCACCAGGTTGCAAGTTTGCTAGGTTAAACTGCAATAGAGAAGGCCATTCATATGCAAAAGCCACTGCTTGGAGCTTGGGTGTGTTTATAGATTGTTCGGGGCAGAGTCTCAGGATGGAATCTCAGGGTGTCTCTAGGCAAGGGCCTGGCAAACAGCCGTGGCTGCCAGTCAGCCGTCTCTGCCTCTCGAACTGTGTCCCCGCATCTTGCGCCCCAGCACAGCAAACAATTATTCTTGCATGCAGCTCTGCAAGCAAGCCACCCTCACTTTCTGACCTGATACAGACAGTCTAGATTCTCCCAAGAAACTGGATATCAGAGAGATTGGAAGCTTGTCTCTCTTCAGGTTGAAAAAAGCAACGCCCTCCACCAGCCAGGATCTGCCATCTAACCATATCATGATCATGCCCCTGTACCTCAATTTTTCAGCTCTTGTGCCCTGAATGCTCCTTTCTCTTTCAATCTAGTTGTAGAGCTTTCACTCAACCAGATTTCTGGTGGTTCTGGGTGATAGACGTTTTCTCTTTTAGTTATAGTTTTGAAATGGTTGTGCACAGCAGCAGTTTAGGTGTGTTTACTTAAGCCGCCATCTTGGATCTCCAGATTAAAGACTCTATTCAACATTTTTATTCATTATTATTACCTTTTTAATTTTATTATTTCATTTATTATGTTCATTTCTTATTTATTCTTATTCATTTTCTTTTCTCTCCCCTTTTTCTTTCATATTCTCTTATTTTGTTTCTTTCTGCCTTCTCTAATCTTTTTATGTTTTTAAATTGATCTAAGAGAGAAAGGAGGGAGAAAAACATCAATGTGAGAAACATGGATCAGTTGCCTCCCATTCACATCCCAACTTGGAATCAAACCTGCAACGTAAGTATGTTTCCTTACTGGGAATCAAATCCTCTACCTTTTGGTGCACATGATGATGCTCCAAACAACTGAGAAACCTGGCCAGGGCCCTTCTCTAGTTTTCTGGTCTCTTGTATTTTAGTATTATTTTTTTTTAGTTATTATTTTGTTGTTTTGGTTGGTTGTTTTTTTCCCATGTTGTTTTCCGTTTGCTCTTGTATTATCTTATTTTGTTTTATCAGCATCTGTGTAACAGATGGCATG